GTAATTCTGTTTCACGGTATTATGGTCAGAGTTTATTGAAAACACCTAGGTCTCTTTTTATTTTTCTTTGAAGTCGTAGTTACTGTACAGCATGCCACGGCATTGATTTCCTCTGAGGATTGGTTATTTCAGAAAGAAGGATGCTAACTTTATCCATATTATGAATACTGAAAAGAAAAAAACCACAAAAATATTGGGGTTACTCCCATATACTTCACCACTACTGTGTTACACATTTAAATACTAAAACTATTGTGCCCATCGAGGACGTTAAATTAAGAAATTCTGTATATAAAATATATGTTCAAAATGGAAGAAATTATTACAGCTTAAAAAAAATTCTTACGTCTATCAGATTACACTACTTTTTGTTCGTATTCGTCTGCTCGGAATTAAAATGAAGTCCTTAAAATTCACTTAAAATGACTCCTTATAATTCAGTCATCTGTGACCTTTTAAAATAAGACAATAGTTAATAACAATAGGGGAACAATAGGTGATAGCCACCTAGTTATAAGCATCTTTTGGGACAATCGGCTTTTCAACCGTTCTTTTTATTGCTTGAAAATACTGAGGTCCTTTAATAATGAATCATAAATTCAGCTGGAGCAGCAATAATGGCTTCACAAAAACACCTTTTCCTAAAGCAATCGAAATGTGCGAACTATTTGCACAGCCCCTTTGGTCCTGGGGTCTTAAGCGAAATGGATAAACACTGCCAGTGATTACACGAACGAAATGCGGTATTCACACTGTGAAAGTATATATTTATACTTTTCACTGCAAGCAGAGGGCTGTGTCCCCTAAGCCATTAACACCGAGGGGGGATAAATAGAATAAAACGACGAAAAAGGGTAAGAAAAGCATATAGAGAAGGGAGGCGTCTCCTCCCCGGAGGTGAATTAGCAGCATCTTATCCAGGGGCCGGTGGGGATGGGACCCACCCGGCCGGGACCTGCCTCCGCGGTTACTTCCAAGCTGTTAACTCTGAAGTCTCTATATCTGTGATGTGGTTGTTTTGATTTGTTGGGGTTTGTTTTCCAATTTAGTAGGACTTGCGTTTACAGAACTGGTCAGACTCGCTCTGAGGTACTATTTTAACGTTTTAAAATCAACTTTCATTCCAAGCAGCTACAAAATCCCAATTTTTTGACATTTCTGACGAGAGCAGCACCTGAAAATATTTTTAGTTCGGATCAAGAGAAGCATTTTGCTTAACACAGATTGAGAATTTCGTTTGTTTTATGTGGCGCTTGGTCTCCGACATGTCGGTAAGGCAGGTAAATGGCAAGGAAAACGGTCTCCAAAGGTAAGGCGAGGGGTTGCCAAGGTGCCAAGAGAAACGGAGCGGCTCCGCCAAGGCTCTGCGTGGACACGCGTGAAAAGCAGCTACCCCCACCAAATACCCCCTCAGGAGACATTTCTGTGGGAGGTTTTGACCGGTTCAGATAGTTGATTTTATTCCATGGGCACAGAAATAAGAAGACAACGATGCGCAGGAAGGGGGTTGCCGGGCGGTTTTCGATGCAGAAAACGGTATTTCCTTCCCGGTGTGCGGTACCGGAGACAACCGGCCCGGGAGATACTTGGTGATACGGGGTTACGCCTGTGTGGGGAGGTGTAAGTGAAAAAGAGCTAAATCTCCGCAACCGCTTCTGTGGGGGTGAGGGCGGAGGTAGGATACCTAGTTGCGAATCGGTTTTGAGATTGCCTAACATCCGTGCTAAGGACCGTGAGGGATGAGGAGAAGCCCTGCTCAGATGCGGTGGGGAGAAGTGCGTTCCTCCGCATCCACCTCTCTCCCACAACGAGCTCTCGCATCAAGGAGTCCGAGAAACTTTCCCCCGGGTTTTCCATGTCCGATCCAGCAGAAAGGACCCCTAAAAGCCTTCCCCGGCACCCAGACAGGAACGGGCAGGGTTATGGGGTCGTCCCCACGGGTCTCCCCGAGCGGCAGCGGCTCTCACCCGCTGCCGTGTCCCCTGCAGCAAGGCGGCGGGACCCTGAGGGGAAGGAGACTTTCCTTCTGGCCTCACCCTGCAGTTAAACATCACATATAATACCATATTCGTCACCACAAGGGATACATGGAGCACTGTCCCACCCCTTCCTAGCAAAGGCCTTGAGGGATCCGTTGATAAAGCATCAAAATTAGGCCACTGTAGTTACCGGCCGTTACAAACCTTTAAAACCGCAGAGCAGCAATAAACCCAAACCTTAGCTCCTCATTTTCAAAGCCTCTGTGTATGTGTTGGAAAGAGACAAAGCGCCTATGCGCCTGTTGGACAGACGCAACTAAATGGTAAACATGTTCCTTAGGGTGCTGCGTGGGTCCCGGCTGTCCCTCCCCGGCCACCGCGAGAGCTGGGGGGCACCTCCGTGGCCCTGCCCGCCCCGCCGGGGCTCAGTCTGCCGGTACCGTGAAGAGCCGGCTCCGGAAGTCAGGTTACGCGGCAACAGGAGCCTCTCCTCCGCGCGTTTTGTTGATTTTAATCCCTTTTAATTTTTTTTTTATTATTTTTTTTAAAGGCTGAAATCATTAACCAGGGGAGCCTCGGAGGGGAGAGGGAGGGCAAATAAAAGGAAAATGGGGGTCATTAAAAATCCATGCAGGCTCTCTGCTGTGTTGAAAGACAAGATGGAAATCACCCCAAATCACGGCGGCAAGCAGCAGGTCACAAGTGACGGGGAGGCCGCTTACTGCAGGAGGGAATAACCTCCTGCCGTGCTGCCCTCCGCCGGGCACGGCCTCAGGCAAAGGGGGAGCAGGGAAGTTTTCCCGGAGCCGGGGCAGGGTGTCCTGTCCGGGACGGGGGCAAGGTGGGGGCCCGGAGCCTGCCGTCTGCAACCAGCAAGAAAGGCTGGAGCTCAAGCCCTGCCTCTGGGCACCCGGCAGAGCTTCAATAGGAGTTTTAGGCAAAGAAAAAATATTCCCTCCTCATCCTTGAGTTGTGGCGGCTCCCTCCTTCCTACGGGACACATCGCGTCTCTGACAAAAGGCATCTTCAGCATGCCCCCTCCCTGCCTTGGTCTGGAGCAGGGGCTGCTTGGTCTGGAGGGGGCTGCTTTGAGGCGCGAGTTTCACTAACCGCCGGGTTAGCTCCCGAGGCTGGCCCGCGGGCCCGAGAGGGAGGTGACGGGCGGTGGCAAAGGGCCCTCTCTGTCGGCTGCTGCTGAAAGCCCCTTTTTCCTGGCTGACGCGGACCGCTCCGCCGGCTTTTGCCGCCGTGCTTGCGGCGGGGGCTTGAGCCCTTTGTGGAGGGCAGCAGCAGGCAGCCGGGAAGCGCGGAGCCGCCAGGGGGGCAGCTCCGTTGAACGCTGCCGATATCCCGATAGGTAAGTCCGCTTCAATGTCACAGCCACTGGGGAATGGAAACACTCCGTATCGTGGGGTGGCCTTGATAAAAGTATATTTTAAGTAGCGCGGATAAGCGAACGGGAGAAGAGAAGGGGAGAGCTGCCGGCACGTCGCCTCTAATAACCGCTACTCTTATCAGCCCGGCCTAAACTCCCCAGCAGTTTCTAAAGTACATTAAGTTACATAAACATGGCTCGGAAAAGAATACACTCCATCCTGCGATAGTCTCCAAAGTGACCCCTCAGTCCGCCTCGCACCGGAGCCCGCTAAGCCCCCACGGCCGCAGAGCCTCGGGGGCACCGGTGCCCGGCCCCAGGTGAATCCCGCTGCTCCCGAGGCTGCCTGGGTCGGGGGGAGCGGCGGGGATGCGGTCGGATCGGACCCTTCGCCTGCTGCCTAACGCACCCCTGCCTCATGCAGGGACCCGAGAGTGAATGACGGAGAAACCACAACGCCTCTTCACACAGCTTTCTCCCAGCCCTTTCCTTGGAGGCTGAAGTGTCCGAGTGCCCAGTGAGGGAATCTGCCTTAACCAGATACAAATTCACTTCTTTCCCACCCCCGATCTACTTCCTTCCCCCTCTGGCCACAGGGAACAGGAGTAATAGTTTCTTCACCGGCACCACGTCCCCAGCGGTGCCTTTCCCCACTGAATATTCCCTTCTCGGCTTTTCCCTGCAAAACCACCTTTGCACTTCCCGATGCAGATGCTCCTCGGGTGCCTACCCCGGCCATGGGGCAGAAGGTACCCGAGGGGTTCCCGGAGCCCCGGTGTGAAATTTGCGTCAGAAAAGAGGGATTTGGGAAGGGAGTGACATCATGAAGAGTTAGGGACCGAAGACTATATGATTTGAGTGATTCGAGAGCAAACCTGAACCGAAGAGGAGCGGAGAGGAAAGGGGTGATTGGGAATGGTTTCCCACGGTGGTTCCAGTTCAAGCTGGGTTTTCTTATCGGGTGTATCGGAGGAAATAAAATGAAACTTGTAGCCTGGCTGTAACGTAAACAGGCTAATCAGCGGTGAAAGAAAAAAACCCGAGGCGCCTGAAGTGTAAAACACTGGTCGCTTTGGAGCCAGAGAAAAAGGCGCCTGCCAGGCCAGCGCGGCCGCTCTTCCTCTCCGCCATCCTCATCTCCTGGGCAGGGGCACTGACAACCCCCTCCCAGCCAGTAAATCCGGTCGCTTCAAAACAAAACCAAACATCGACATTTCTGGCGTTATATCCACCCTAACACGTGTTTGAAATACCTCAGGGTTTAGCTCGAGAAGGGGCATCCAAAACACTTAGAGGAAACGCGGAGCTTAAAGCCGGTCGGTCGGCGCTTTTCAGCACAGAAATTTAGAGTGGCAAGCAGGTCCCCAGGCAGGGGAGAAGTGTATTGGGCATCGACACCCTCGACTTCCCCTGCTTTTGTCGCGTTTTTCCAGGTAAAAAAAAAACCATGGGGAAATGTTTTATACTGTAAGTTCGGGTCGGAAGGCACGCCGGGCGTTTACAGACAACGAGTGGCTGCTCTCGCTTGCAATTTTATTTTCTATTTAATATTACACCCACTAAAATCCATCTAAAGAGAGTAAAGAAAAAAAAAATCGTTTCAACCTGGCAGGGTGACCAAAAGAACGATATTATTTAAAAAGAACTGACAAGAAAAAAGTAGCGCCTTTAATTATACAATTTAATGGAGAAACAGTTTCTGGGGCAAGTGGTTCTTTCCCGAACAAACCCCGCCGCGCTACAGCACCAAAATTCACAAGCGCAATAAAACCTGGAGGTCGCAACCGGTTCCTCCCCCGCCATCAGTGGATGGCTGCAGCCGGGGTTCTACCGTACCCTCGGCACTGCGGATTCTTCACCTCTCATTCACCTTGCCTGGAAAGACGGAAAGAAAAGCCGTGCCTACCCCAGGAGCGACAGCACCGCGCACCAGCAGCTTTGGGCTCGGGTTCTGCCGGGAGGGCTCATGTCTTGCCGGCTGCCGAGAGCCGGGCTCTGTTCTAGTCCAGCCCTTCGCCGCAGATGACTCTTTCTGTACAAACTGATGATGACAGATATCCAGCTGATAACCTCTGGTGAACGAAGTTATTTTAATTTCCAGTCACTTTCCTGCTAAGTACCATATCAGTTTGTACACAGCTGAGATAAGAGGGCTGGGGAGGGGTGGGGGAAAGAGAATAAGAAAGAAACAGGAAAAATGCCTACTGCCTGCTTCTGGAGTAGACACATCCCACAGCTCTCTTTGGCTTCACCTGACGGTTCGGGCAACTCTAGGAGGAGCCACATTTTTTCCCCTCGGTTAGCTCTGGCTTTAACGAGTAAAACTAAGGAGAGGGTTTGTTGGTTTGGTTTTTTTTTTTAATGAGACATTCACCTGGTTGCTTAGGGCGAGAAATATGCATACATCCTTCCGGGCCGCTGCCAGGGACTGTCTGCTGAGAGGGCGGGAGGCAGGAGGAAGAACACTTACAGAAGGGGAATAGTCACCTTAAAGAAGATACGTGTGTGTGTGTATTATATATGAGTTATTAAACAAAAAGAAGAAGAGGAAAAAGACTGGCCATCTGAGAGGGGGAGTCCCCCTCTGCTTTTGCCCGAGGAGGGGGTCCGCCCCCCCCCCGCTGCAGGCACCCCGAGATGCCATCTCCCTGTCCCCCGCTCCGTTCTCTTGACCTCCCCCGCCCCGACTGCGCACTCTCCCGCCCCCAGCTGCGGGCCGGCTGGCCGCGGGACTGGCACCCCTGCGGAGCTGCGTGTTTGTTTAGGGCTCGCCGAGCCCAATCAGGGCCGGCTGCCTGCAGTTTTCCGGCAGGGCTGCGAGAGGCGCCTCCTCTCTCCTTTTTATACATGAGCCTCCGACAGCAGCCGCTGGACTCGCCGTCGCCTCTCGCTCCCGCCGTACTGGATTTACCGCCCGCAGCGGCCCCGCGCCTCAGCCCCATGTGGGACACTGGCAACAGGTTTGGCTCCTCGCTTCTCTTCTTTCTCCTTTTCCACCGCGATTTCTCGTTTTCTTCCCCTCTCTCCTGCCTACCGGCCTCCCCCGGAGGGAAACGGCGCGGCCGCCGCTGTGCCTGGTTGGGGAAGCCCAAGGGGGACTTTGCGGGCAAACATCCGATGCCGGTGCCTGGAGCCGTTATCTGCCGGAGCCTTATCTCCCAGTTATCTCGCAGGAGGGAGAGACGTATTCGGTGCCTATCAGTGAGGGGGCTGTGTGTGTGTGCATGTGTTCTGTCTTCATGTGCCTACGGTTATCTGGGGAGCCCCGAAGTGAGCTGAGAGCAGAGACGCTCACCGCCCGCTTCTCTTGCTGTCATTTCTCTGCATTCCCTTTCCCTTTCTGCCCCTTTTCTCAGTGGCTGGGCACCGGGGCTCTCTGTCTGTCTGTTTGTTCGGCCTCTCTCACGCCGCCGGCTCCGGACCGCGACCGGTCTCGGCGGGGGCCCCGATGCCGCGGCTGGCTGCGGGACGGATGCAGCCCCCAAATGTGCTCCGCTGGGGCTCGGGGCAGGCCCACAGTCCGGGCCGGCAGCCTGTGTGCTCCGGGCACAGCCCACCCGGCCCTTGCCCCGGCGCCCCAGCGCACACGTCGGGGCCCTGCCCGTGTGCATCTCCCTGCTCCTGAGTGCCTTTTCCTCCTCTTCCTCCTTTTCGTGACCTTGGGCTGGAAATTAGCAAACAAGCGAGACGATGCGCGGAAAGGCTAACATCGCTCTCTAGAGAAGTAACCTTAAAGGGATCGCCTTCCTGATTGTTTTCTCGGTGGAACCGAGTCAAATGACTCATTCATTGAAATAACCATAATAATAACAACCATAGCAGCCAAGGAAGGGGCTTAGGCACAGACAAGGGAAAATGCCCCTCTTCCCTCTCAGTCCCCTCTCTCTCCACGTCCTCTCGCCCACCTTCCTTCCCCCCCAGCGCGCTTCACGTTCAAATCCGTAGCAGGGAAGGCGGGATAGGCGGGGGGGAAGGGAAGAGGGAGCAGCTCCCGGCTGCCCGGAGAGCGGCCCGGATCCCGCAGCCCTGGTCCCGCGGGACCGTGCTCCGTGGCTGGCGGAGCACGTGTAGACCTGGGCTCCCTGATCCCATTCCGCCGGGGCAGGGGACACTAGCGCAGAGGGGACATGACTGACTAAGCGCTCAGTGGGTCCAGATAAGCCCTGATGAATCTCATTAAGGGAGGGAGACGGGCTGTCCTGTTTGCAAACTTTGTTATTATTTTTTCTCTCACCCCCCCTCCCTTTTGTGTCCTCCTTCCCCGCCCTGCCCTGCGGACCCCCCCACCCCCCACTCTTCCTCCGCCTCCCCTCCTCCCCTTCCCCATCCACACCCAGCGGTTGAAGGGGACCTGGATGGCCGTGGCTGAAGTCGGCTGGTGCACGGTGAAGAGGTGCGCTGCGGCCGCCGGCGGTTCCTCCTGCCCCTTCGCGACCAGGGAGCAGCGTCCGTCTCCTCCTTCGCCCCCTTCTTCCTCGTTGTCCTCCTCCTCAGGCGGCTCCTCCAAGACTCCTCTGCCGGAGCCCGACGGCAGCCACCGGCCGGCCCCTCCGCCGCCCCCCGCCACCGAGGGCAGGTCGCTGCTCGCTCCCTACGTGCCCTTTGGGGCCGCCCACCACTCCGGCCTGCCCAGCTGGGAGGACATCCTGCTCTTCGCGGATTTAGACCAAACCAACAAGCTGATCTGGTCCAGCCGCGGCCCCAAGCTGAGCGCCCTCGGCGCCGAGCAGCCCGAGGAGATGTACCAGACCCTGGCAATCTCGGCCGCCCAGGGCCCCACGCCTTACGACGGATCTCCGAGCGGCTTCATGCACTCCACGCCCAGCTCACCGGTCTACGTGCCCACGACCCGCGTGGGTTCCATGCTGCCCACTCTGCCGTACTTGCAGGGCAGCGGGGCGACCCAGCCCAGCCACCCCGGAGGCGGCCATGCCGTCTGGTCCCAGCCAGCTGCAGAGAGCCCCTCGTACAGCACCGGCAGCGGCTCCCACCCCTCGGGCCGCTTCCCCTACTCCCCCAGCCCGCCTGTGGCTAACGGGGCCTCCCGGGATCCCGGCGCCTACAGCAACAGCCTGAGTGCTAGGGACCAGTACAGCCCCCTGGCCCGGCCGCTCAACGGCTCCTACCCGGGGCCCTACACGTCCTACGTGGGGCCGCAGCTCACGCCGGCCTGGCCCACGGCGCCCTTCGAGAACTCCATGCTGCACTGCCTCCAGGGCCGAGCTGCCCCCATCCCCGTCCGGGCTCCCAGCGCAGGTAAGACCCGTCGCCGGGCGCGGTGGGGCGGGCAGGACAGCGTGGGCAGGAAGGGCGGCCGCTGCACGTCGGGGCTGCCCACTGCCGGGCCCCAGGGGGGAGCGGGGAGGGGGCTGCAGGGCCGTTCCGGCGCGGGGTTAGAGGGCTGCGTGATGCGGTGGCGGGACGGCGACCCCGGGACCGTGTCTTTCGTGGAGTGGAGGTAGCTTTCGTCGTTAGCGGTGGTTTGGGCGGGAACAGCCCCCCCCTTCCCTTCCCACCCCCCCCCCCCCCAAGAAAAAAACCAAAATGCAAGCGGCGTTGTTTGGACTCTGGCAGCTTGGGTTGCAAACTGCGTTCACAAAACGAATGGCCCAGTGTAAGCCGGGCTTTTCATTTTCGTAACTCTGTACATTCTCCCTTTCCCTAAATGCAGCAGTCTAACCAATTAATTGCGAATTCACCTTTCTTGTAGACTATAGGAAAAGCACAGGGGCTCGCTTAGCCTTTTTGCATTATTTCAAATTCAAACCGCTTCGCTGTTCCGTTATAAACGAAAGGAGCAAAGCAAAACCTCGGATGTGAACGAGAACCCCCGTTTATAAACTGCTGTTAAAACATGGCACCTCCTGATGGTATTTTACTTTCTCTTCCGAGGTGTCCCGTCCCTTTTTTTTTTAGTTTAGGAAATTCTCGGTGTCATTAAATCAGCCGTAGAAGTGGAGGCTGAGCTGCGAAGATATAATCATAAGTAGAAAGATTAACGATCTTCAGCTTTAAAGTCTCTTCAGCTTTAGAATATCTGTATGTATATATAAATATAGATGCACATAGAGATGTCTGTGTTTGTGTATTTATCTAGGTATATTTATAGGTATATATTTACATGTATTTATGCATATTTATATATACTTCTGTATATTTATGTATATATGTGTACGCATACACACGCGCACAAACACATTTGATCAGCATTTGCTCTAATCATAAACTACCCACCAGGTAGGTTTATTTTCTATACACTGTGATTTTCTCTTTCAGTAGTGTTGCAGAAAATTACTCGATGGCTTTTCTCTTCCCCATAGGGGTGTACACGATGCTCCCTCCTCCTGTCTCTCGATAACACCCCGGTAGATTTAGGCATTTTAAGCCTCCCACTTGGTGTTTACTAACATAAGAGAGGGAAGACGACTCAGTTGTAGTGGTGGTAGAAGAAGCAGAGAGTAAACCCGAGAAGCCATATTTCGGGGCGATATGAAAGTCAATTTCTGAGAGTTACAGTGTAAAAATAGGTGATGAACGAAAAAAAATAATAACCTTGTTATGGATATTATTATTACTTTTTTTCTTTTTTTCCGGGGTAGATGTGAAGTTGCAGAATCTGAAGGAAGGGAGGGGAGAGGGATGGGGCAGAAGTGGCACAGGAGGGAGCAAACAGGGAGCAGGAGGAGGCTGGGGCAGGAATGCCAAGCGTTCTGAAATGAAGGGCATAGAACTTCCACTTGCTTTGGGGGTAGTCTCACGTCCTCCCTTGTGCCTCTGGAGCTGCTGAACCCGGGCCCAGCTGGGAAGGAGCAGGCAGCGCAGGGAGTATAGGCAGCGTGAGCAGTCGCTGCGCTGGGGCTGCTTCCTTGCTTCCTCCTTTCCAATAATCCTGTCAGCAGTCAGGAAAAGTATAGCCGTGATACATACATACATACATATATATATATATATATAAAAGTATACCCGTGGTACATATATATATATATATTACGGCTAAATATTAGGCAGTTTGATACAGATTTCTCACCATTACTAAAACCGTGTGTAGCATTGAAACTTTAATTTGCTTTCCTTGGAGATAAATCTATTTCTCGCGCACTTAGGGGAAACAAAAAATATTTTTAAATGCTTGAGAAGTATTGTCACGGCAGGATTTCTTTCTGCAGACGTGGAGATAACGTTATAAAGCAAATAGCTGAGACAAATAACTGTTTAACTTCCAGCGTCCTTGAAGCCTTAAGCATTTTCCTGATTACAGCCCTCAATGGCGCTTTTAGTGCAAAGATTAATAAATCTTACCGATGAGCTAGAGGCTGACAACGTAAGCTGAACTGTGCTCTCTGGACTCTGCCGTGTGCCCATTCCGGTTTAGCGCCTAATAATTTCCAAACGAAGTGAGGTGAGAAAAGCATTTCTGTGGGTTCGGGCCTTTGGGCCCGTTCTATCTCAGCTGGGTACCTTCGTGTCACCGCAGCACTGTCCCAGAGCAGCCTGAGGTTAGCGAGCTCTATCCCTTCACAGCTAGTGAGCGAAAAGGAAAACTAACCCAGGGATGAATTAAAGCAGGTAGCGGAGGGAATGGAGGGAGCAGAAATATCAGAGGCGAAGTTGTGAGTGAAACAGACTTTCCCAGCCTCCACTCGAAAGCTACTGCAGAAATACAGACACCTACTTTTATTATTTCTATTTGTAAAATCCGTATTTATTCCCGCTGCCCCGAAATATGGAGATAATGAGTCAGAACAAGAACATAAGGATTCGCAGGGATGAAGCTGTTTGCTTTTATAGCTCGGTTATCTTAATTTTTTTTCAGTACTTTTAGACCCGTTTCCCTCAGTGTTCAGTAGCTACAAGAGCGAGAGGCAGAATACCACATATTTCCCCATTCCCTCCGGTTTCTACCACCCAGCTCAAATTTGACCAAATAGCCGAGGCAAAGTGCTTGCTCCCCGTCGCCGCCTTTGACATACCAGAGTCCCAAACGCTGTCTCTAAGTTATACTAGTTACAAGGCATTTGAAATGAGAGTCGGGGTAAAAACTCCTTGCCCAGCCGTAGCCTAGGGGAATGAATATTGGGCAAGACCACCGCACCCTATGCCCTTAAGTATTTATGTCTTTATATATATATCCATTATATCCTTATATTTATACATATATATGTTTATATTTTTATATATATATAACCGTCTATATCTTTATGTATTTATGTCCTCAAACCCTTACACGCCGTTCCTTACACCCAGGAAACGGCTGTTCTGGCCGTTACCTAACGCTCTCTGCCCCCTCAAAGGCAGGTACCCCCCGTACTGTGGGCACTGCGACGGGGGTTGAAACCCCTCGAGCACACCTCGGGTCGCTCCTGCGTCGCATCCCGAAGGGAGTGCGGGGTGCCGGGGCTCTCTGCTCCATATGGATGATAACACCCCTCTCCCTCCCGCCGCCTTCCTCAGCCTGTCCTGGGGAGCACTGGCTCCGGTTCGTGAAGTAAAAGTTGCACCGGGTCTGGCAGCGAGCCTGGTACATTGGAAGAAACTAAAAATTAAAAAAAAAAAAAATGTATATAAAAGTAAAAAAAAAAAAAAAGGAAAAAGAAAAAAGAAAAAGAGGACTTTGTTAAAAAATAAAAAATAATAAAGACGCGCAGTAGCGGTCACTCCCGGGGAATTGCTTTTCCGAAGCTGAACAGCGCCGGTTTCTTGCCGCCCGGGGCCCCTCTCACAGTGCGGCGGGGTCGGGGAAGCGCTCCGCGGAGATCCGCGGGGCTCCGCGCCCGCCGGCGGCCGAGCCCCACCTCCTGTCTGCTGCTACCCTCTAGAGCTGCTGGAAGACCTGTCCGAGAGTCGGGAGTGCGTCAACTGCGGCTCCATCCAGACCCCGCTGTGGCGGAGAGACGGCACCGGGAACTACCTGTGCAACGCCTGCGGGCTGTACACCAAAATGAACGGCCTCAGCCGGCCCCTCATCAAGCCCCAGAAGAGAGTGGTGAGTGGGGATAGAGAGGGGGGGAAGAACTGCGCTCCGCGGGGTCCCCAGTCAAAGTTTGCTAGGCGGAAAGCAGGGGCAAGCTGAGTGTGTTAGCTCTGTCATTCCCCAGGCTCCTGACCACGTTGTCAGCCCAAAGCGATCACCGTGAGGGGCGACAGCGCTGGTAGCTCTGTGCCCACCTCTGAGCCTTATGCTGGCGAAATCGGCCTATGCTCCCCGTGAGCCCCACACCGGGCACGGACAGGCCTGGCTGTTTGAGCTGATGGACTCTGTTGGTGAGGGGGCATCGGTGGCTTGGAATAAATTTGTGCTGCTGATGTTGGATGTTTCCAACCGAAAAAAAAAAAAAATTAAAAAAAAAAAAAAAAAATCAAGGTTGGAAAGTGTTTGTTCAGAGGGCTCGGAATTTCTCCAGACCTGCTTTGTTTGCTGAGAGCTCGATCCTTGGGAATGTAAGCAAGTTTTGTATATAATTCAAAGAAAACCAATTGTTTAAACAATGATAATAGCCTTTGTTTTGTTTCACTCCTAAGAAATGAGCGGCAATTTTTCTAAAAATATACTCCTAAAAGTAGGGGGGAAATAAATAGCACAAACCAGAACCCCTGTTTATAACTCCGGCTGGCACTGAATAGGCAAGGAGAAAATTTAACAAGCCAGAACTGCACATTATGTTTAGCAAACCTGGGTGGAGGTCAGCAGAGAGAAAGAATATGCTCTTCAGTAATGGCAGTTACTGAGCGAGCCACAATAAATCACGCTGGTATAATCCAAGCTGATGTTCGGACCCCTGTGTATGAAGACAGTGTATCAAACTCACTGGCCTTTCAAGGCCCTTTCAATCGACAGTTGCTTTGCTCCGTGCCTGATTTCTTGGCATTAAAATACATCCCAGTCTTTATTTCACAACCGTTTTAATTTAATGCCCTTACGGGAGCAGGGAGGGGAGCAAAAACCAAATGTGCAATGATCACAGCAAACAGTAAGCGCTCAAGAACGCACACCACCTTTCTTTAAGCCAAAGAGTTAACTTAACTGTAAGCCAGATGTTAATTATTGTTGGCTGCCCATTTTTTCTAGCTGGTGGTTCACTATATTTCACGACACAAGGTGTTATCTCATTACTGGGGGCAAATGCAGCAGACGCGCCAGATCTGCCACTTATCTGAAGTGTCAGAGCCTGCCTGACCGTGGCACCCTGGCCCAATGCAGATTTCAAGTAGCTAATACCCGGCTCTGGCATTTCAGTGTTCCTCCTGTTTTTTGGAAGGGGATTGGGGGTGAGGAGACTAAACCAGAGTCAAACCACAGCCTGATTTCAGCCTGACACCTCGGTGAAATAACTCTGAGATAGCTCTGTGTAACAATCCCTACAGAGTACACTGGCCATAACTATAAATCAAGCATGAGTGTGTATTCATACAATTGGAAATATGTAGGTGAGAAGGGAAAATGTTTTGAAAATGCTAAACATGTTTAGATTGCCTTGAAGTTTCTGATAAAGTTCCTGCAACAGAAAGTTGTTTTAGCTTCAAAATGTGCCAAAACCCGGTGTCTGTTTAGATATGGGAATGAGCAAAAGCTATCAAAATAGAATATATGGAGGTTTATACCAGACTGCATAAAAGAAAGATTTAATAGAATGAAATGTCTGATGGCATTTCATATGCAAAGAAAGAAAATTAAGCATATGTGTTAAGACCAGCTTTTTTACCCAATATATGTAAAACTTGCATTTAATCAAATCTTAATTTAATCAGATGCTATATGCATACATATTAATAGTGAGGTAAAAAATGTTTTTGTGAGATCTGTATTTTTAAGATTAAAAAGCATATGTGTGTACGTCAGCCTATATTATTCTTGGCTGTGTTGTTTTTCTTTTGCTGTGCAATTAATAATGGGTTACTGATTCAAAATTACAGAATTCATATTTAATCTAGATTTCTTTCTGATCTGTGGTGTAAGATGACGGCTTACTGCTAAAGAAACTCAAATGAGTAAAATTCACAAAACTGGGTTATTACTCTGGAATATTCTTCATTCTCACAACATTTTTATCGCTTTCCCTAGTGGCAGGCAGCTTTGCGGTATCAAAGGTGACCGAGTTACTTCTAACAACCCAGCAGTAAATGATTCAAGAGGAAGGGCATTGTACCCTTAAGCTAGTAGTTTCGGTTATGGGTGCTTTATAGTCAGAATAAGATTAATGCAATCCTCTAAAACTGACTTCTCCGTGTAAACTTGTTCTGCTGCCAGACACAGAGCTAGGCACAGATTTTTTTTTTTCTATCTTTTTTGACAATGCAATACTTTGAAAAAACTAGATTTATGATGTAGCTGGAATTCTTTGCTTATGATGAACGTAAAAGAGATCACTCGTTACAGGGACTTTTATAACCTATTCACCTTCATTTCACATGTTTATGAGGACTGCCTTCACTTATGATATACAGCCTGCAGCCATAAAGTTCCAGGTTATACAGTTATTCCTGATACAAGGTTGCTTCATCTTGGCTCCAAACTCCACGGAAGTGTGTCATAAATGGCTTGTTTGCAGTGGGGACCTTGTTGTCACCCACCACCTTTTCTGCTGGCCAAGGGGGAGGTCTGCTCTGTAAAACACACTCCCAGGACACGTTGTTTTTTAACGCAAGGATAGAATGGGTGCTCATAAAAGGATATTTTACAAAGATGCCGCTGCTGTATGATGCCCAGGAAAATTTCCTCTAGTTGTGGTGCTGCTGAGGGCAGGTGGTTAAAGGGGTTTATTTTTCTGATGAGTAGGAAATATTGCTGGCAGGTTCCGAGCTGCCTCAGCAGTTAGGGTTGGAAAGGACCTCATTGCCTGTCACAGAGGGGAGAGGGCATTGAACCAGCTGGAGAGGCGGCACAGGAGTGATGTGCTTTCTCCTCAGCTGAATGGAGGACATCCTAGCTGTCCTGCTGGAGGAAAAGTCAGTGCCCAGTGGTCTCAACAGAGGTCCAAGTGTCAGCAGCCTCTGCTGTGACTGCCCAGAGCTGCAATCTCACAGTACCTCTTCACACCAGCTTACCCATCTCTGAAATGATGTTAATCTCATTTTAATTCTGGGGTGTCACTGATAGACGGTATAAAAAAAGCTTCTACTGTCCCCAGTGTGTGTTAAATTACTTTTCATAAACTCCAAAGGCATCAGTCATTTGCTCCTGCCTGCTTGTTTGATGCCTATGTTTGCCTGTTCTTGCCTCTAGCCCTCGTCGCGGCGGCTGGGCTTGTCCTGTGCTAACTGCCACACCACGACCACCACCCTGTGGCGGAGGAACGCGGAGGGTGAGCCCGTCTGTAACGCCTGCGGCCTCTACATGAAGCTCCACGGGGTAAGTGGCTGCTTTTTCACCTAGGGGTATTCCCCACAGGCTCTGAATCTCCTTGGGGGAACGGGGTGTCTTCCCGCTAGCGGGTACCTGGTGGCTTTGAGGAGTGGTGTTGGGTTTCCTCAAGCTGGGGCAATGTTTCTGCTAATGCTAATGATCCTGGCTCATAGTATGGGCTGTGGAGTTAAAAAACAGTGAACAAAATGGATAAAATGACCAAAAAAGCGTGACGTTGGCAAATGGTTAAACCATTTTAGCAGTTATGCCTGTGACAAGTTATGTGTTTGCTATTGTGGCTTTCCTGACAGATCTGTGCAATGAAACAGATGAGCGGCAGAGGTCTTTTTGCCAGTGGGATTTAAAACAGCTCATCAGTGGTGGTGGGGGGAAAAAACCCTAGACCTCTAATAAGACCATTTTTCATGGGCAGACATAGCTATGCCAGCAAAAATTTAAACGTAATTCAAGTCATAGCTATGCCAGCAAAAATTTAAATGGGATTTCAGTCTTTGCTAAGCAATAATAGAGGAAGAAAATAGCTGTATCCTGAATGTGATGGAGTATGTTTTGTGTGAAATTCAGATCCTGTTATGCTTCAGTGGATTAAGTTACAGTCAAGCACAAGTGTTTGAAGAGCACAGGCATTAGGAGTGTTTGGGGCTTGTTCTAGCCCTCAAGAAAAGAAGTAAATTATATTGCAGGTTTAAATATTATAATGATAGTAAGCATATGCCTGAATTGTATTTTCCCAAACTCATGTCATCACTAAGTTAAAACACTTTTTTTAATCAGTGTTTTCTTATAATGATTATATTTGTGGAGACACAGAATACAAATCTGATCCTAAAGCACATTTTTCCTATAAATATAAATTTGGATGCTATAAAGCTGTATTATGGGCTGAACTGCTTATGAAAACAAATATGGCCTAAAGCTTCTTTCCTAAGACATGGGTGATGAACTGGTTTATGTAGTTGGTCCACTGGGAGAGTGGATATTTTTTCCTCTCATATGCATTCCTGGTTTCCAGAATCAGTCACTGAAGATAATTCCTAAATGATTGGAAGAAGGAATCAGGATTCAGATATACCCTGTTCAACACCTGTTGGCCAAGTAATGCAGTAATGCTGTTTTCCTCTAAAAGTGTGCTTTTTATCTGTGGATTGACTGCTCAGTTCACACAAAGAAAAAGGTTTCCCTGCTTTTGTTATTTAGCTAAAATACCTCCTGAAACAACCCACTGCTTTGCCCAAATAAAAGGCAAAGGTTTTTTTAATTGGTATTATAACAGAAAAAAATTGATGTGCTGTACAGGCATTGTGAATATCACCATTTGACCTTGTTGTGTGTTTTGGTTTTTGATATTAGAAAACGTATACAACTCTGTGATTAGTGTGCAAATCTAATTTTTTCAGGTTCCCCGACCTCTTGCTATGAAAAAAGAAGGAATTCAGACCAGGAAGCGAAAACCTAAGAACATAAATAAGTCAAAGGCTTGCTCTGGTAAATATAAAAAGATAAGACAGTTGAGCTGCAAGATTTTTTTTTCCCTGGTGGAAAATATTTGTTTCAAATACCAATTCCCTGTCTTTCAGGTAACAGTACTACTGCGGTTCCTATGACTCCAACATCCACATCTTCTAATAACTCAGATGACTGTAGCAAAACCACTTCTCCCGGCACACAGACTTCAGCCTCTGGGGTAAGCCATAAGCGGGTGTCTGTATCTGTAAGCAGGCTGATCACCGTGCAGTGTTATCAGAGCTTTTATCTTATCTGGCAGAACAATAATCTAAACAAACTTTTCAGTTTTGTTAGCTGATACTGGAACAAGATTTTCGGAGGATATTACATATAGCTGTAAACAGAGCGACAAGCTGAAGTACTTTACAAACCTCTTAATTAAGATCTATATAACTTTTATGATTAAGTTAACCACAGCTTAACCCCAGATACTTTGTTTTGAAACGTTCAGGTTGTTCCATTTCAAAGGTTTTCTTTTGGAGCAAAGACAATAAATCATTCCGGACCGATCCTTTCAAGAAACAATTCTGCATGTGCCCCCCTTCTTCTGAAGTGATCTGATAAGAATTTATAATTCAAGGCACTGCTGCTATGTTTCCCAAAAGCTGTTTAATATATATATATATATATGTGCATTTTTACACATTATCCCAAATTGCTGATAAACCCCAGCAAAATGTTATGCTACTGTATGAAAGGAAACATAAAGGCTTTTGTTTTAAACTAAGATATGCACTTAAACCATGACACAGAACCAGATGAAACCAGGGTGGCGTGCCCTGCTGATTGCAGTGCATAGGAGATTGGCGCTCTCCTCACAGAGGGTTCCTCTGGGACCAGATGCTCAGCATCTGGCAGCACTGATCTCCAGAGGAGCACCAGAGGAATGCTGATCAATCCCTTTAGTTTTGATCCTTATTTTACAACATGTAGTCAAAACCATCTCGAACTTCCTTTCTGCACTCAGTGTCTGTGATAACAAATACTACCGCTAAAGTTGTGAATCTTAATGTAGATTAATTTCTAACCCCTTGGCTATACATATCCATATCCACACTCACTCTTCAGGCCTTCTGTATCCTTTGCCCTGCCACATCATTTCTTTGAAAAGCTTTCCTAATGTGTCTTTCTCTACTCCTTTATTAATGATAAGTAGACATTGTTTATAATAACTATTTTTCAATATCTCAGCATTCCCAACATACAGATTCCTTTCAATAGTTTAATTCTTGATGCACAAAGTTTCATTGTACAAGGGGGAAAAAAACCCCATGTTTAGCAAACGCAACTGTTCATGAACTGACAGGGCCACCCAGTTTCAGAGGCATCGGGTTTTGGGTTTGGATGCTGCCGGACAAGGGTATTACTAAAAGGGCTTGTCTTTGACATGAGAAAATCCTGTCACTCCAATAAAATAAACAGATCACATCAAAAAAAGAGAAACACTAAGCAAAAAGTGAACTGTTACTGGGTTTCAGCGTCCCCCCAGTGAACTACTATGTACTCTTTTAGGCTCTCACCTAATATTTGCAACGGGAAGAATGCAGCCAGTTTTCCCTTAATATGTTGCTACATTGCCTTAAGCAGGATTACTGATTCTGAGGAATGTTGTGAGATTTATACAATGGACAGAATTGGAAGCACAGTCCCAGCTGAAGTGGAGGCAGTGGTGTAGGCTGTAGGCAGGACACTCGTGTGCTGGTCAGGGAAGGAGGGGCCATACAGACCTGTTATTAATAATCTTTGTGTTATAATATTAATAGCATCATTTGTAATATGATTTTGCCAGGTGAAGTTATGTGGGTACCAGGGAAGAGTGAGGTAGGGACACACTTTGTGAGCCAAAAGGCTGGTTGAGAGCTGCTTGCAGCTAAGAGCATTTCCCAGGGACCCTGAGAGTGCTCTTAAATCACCCAACAGCATCCTCCAGTGCCAGGACCTCAGTTCTCCCTGAATTTTCTGTAGTAGATCAGGCTGGGAGAGGGCACCTGCACACAGGCTTGGGAAGTCTGTCTCCTTGTACCCAGCAGGCAGCACAGTAACATCTGCACAGCCTTTTCACCACCATGATTTGATCAGATGTGCCCTGCATATGCAAAGCACTTGCAAATTACCTCTTGTGAAAAATTTCAATGAAAGGAAGTGATGGAGAGGCTGTGAAACATGCTGAAGCAGCAGAGACCAGACATCCGGGTATCCCCTGACCCTCCCTCCCCATGAAGGGTTAGTGCACCCCAGCCCCATATGTGTATAGATGAGGGATGGATTTTCAAGGAGCAGTTGTCAGAACATGACGTGGGCATGGCCACATCCTTCCTGGCTTTGCCCAAGCATCAGCAATTCTATGGGATGAGTGCTGGGGAGACTGGAGGTTGAAAGTGGAAGTAGTGGCTGTTAAGACTGGCTCGTGTTGCCCCAGACATCATTTGGGAACATGATCACTAGCTACAAAGGAAGTGAAATAATTTCTTATGGGCCTAAGTCCCGTGGGAGGGTCTAAGCGCTCATAAAGCCCATTGAAGTTGTCAAGAGTGGAGGGATGTCAGCATTCTGGAGCAAGGCAGCCTGTAATCTGATCACATGCTGAAGCGAAGATACTTTGCTAGAGTTCTGTTTTCCTTGATTATTTTTTCTTTTCCCATTTGAGTTGACCCATTGATAGCCTGAAGGTTTGTATTTATTCTTAGAACAGGCAATGGCTTTGCACAAGGAGAATAAACTTCTCCGGGCCATGTCAGGAGGGAAAAACCCCTGAGATTGATTAATCCAGGCTCTGTAATCTTTGGTCGCTTTAAGGGGAATGGCATAAATTCCTGCAAGCGGTGCTGCTGACATTGCCGAAACATGGACACCTGCTGGAAGAGTGACCTGGCTGATTCCCCATGCGTTACACAACTGGCATGGCAACTTGCTTGTGTTTTGCTCTGTTTCTACTTCTGCAGCCCTTATTCTATGAAAAGGGGAAAAATGCCAAACTGACATTAGGCAGAGAAATTTGATGACGTTTTAGAAACTGTTGTGTGAAATTCACAGCAATGTTGTTGCTAAATGAAACGGAGAAAACGAATTCCTCTACTGGTACAAAAGCAATTTATTATGCTTTTTATGGGAGGCTGCCAAAAGAGTTCCCAGTTATGTAGAAATCTAATGGAAATGAAATTCAGCAGAATTCATTTGTGTCAGTAATATTCACTTTTTGCCCTGCCTTTCCTTATCTCTTCTAAAGTAAAATAAAGAAAGGAGGGCAGAAAAAGAGAAGGGTGGCAATTACTCTTGGAAATGTCTTTGAGACTATCTGTTTCATGAAGAGAATCTTCCATGATGCCAATTTTGAGACAAATTAGCAAGAACCTTAAATGTTGATTTTATGTTCTGGGTGAAGTTTAAACATTTTAAAGATATGATTAATGAATTGCTGTGGATGCAAAGTTGATTTCAAACATCCCAAAATGTAGAAGTGTTTGGATCAGAGATATTTCGTTGTCCCATTGTAAAGGGGCTATTTGCCAAATTCACATCTGGATCTAGGATTTAGGGCTATTTCTGTTTTTTTAAGCACTGTAAGTACTGGGCGTCCTGTGTTACTAACATGGAAAAGGTCCAGCTGCATGATATATGAAGTTGCCTTACATCCCCATAAAAAGAAGATTTGAAGGTTTCAGACAGCCTGCATCTGCAGCTATACCTGCTTTCTCTTTGATGCTGCTGAAACTGTACAGGGAAAAGCAATGCGGAATACGTTGCTAAACAAAGGGCATGGTCTGTAGCGCACACCCATCCATTTCCATACAGGGGCTCCAACTACTGTGATTACTAGAGGGAATTTATTCCCTTATTAGGATAAAATGCAGTATGAAAACTGCTGTAAAATCTGCTTTTTATGGCAGGACATGGAGGCTCCTTGAGCCAGGACTGATGTCAGTAGAGGCTCAGCAGCACCAGGGGAGCTCTTCTTTCAGACAACCCCTCTTCTGTGCCCTTTGCCTTCAATTTGGAGCTTTCTCAGAAGTACTGTAACCACACACCATAGAATAACTTGGGATAGTTGTCTTGCAGGTAAAACCAGTGCTTAGTTTCCATGGAGATTTACTTTGAGAAGTTGTTCAGGACTGGATCTTCAGTGTTGTAGGGTGGAAAGTGAGAGGGCTGACTGAAATGGCCTTGGCAGGTGCTGAGACAGCAGGAAAATGCAGTTCTAGCCATCCCCCAAATGCCTGAAAACCTGGACTGAATTTTCTGAAGAGTGTCTCCTGTGTTTGCTTTATTTTGTTTTCAGAAGAGGGTTTGAGAGATGGTCAGAGGTGATGGTGTTTGCTCCTGTTTAGGTAGCAGATAGGTAGGGCATTCATGCAGACTACAGGGGAATCAGACTCCATCCAGAATCTCCCAGAGTCTGGATGAACCAGAAACTAGACCTCTTAAAAAAAGATCTTCTATTCACCTGGATATCAGAAAGTTGAATGTCTGAAGGGCTCTTCAGACTATTTAATGATAATATTTCAGTTGGTATAGAATAATTTCATAGCTGTTGGGACAGATTTTCCACGAGAAAGGTTCACCAGCATGGTTGGTAGGACTTTCACCTGGAAAATGGGAACACAGTGCCTCAGTCCTGGTATGAGTAAATATTTATCTAAACAGGTGGAATAAAATCAACAGGAGGCTTGAGGAACATGGCAACCTAAAATATCAAATAGTCTGGGAATCAGGGCATTATGCTGGGAGATCTGATACTCCAGTTTAAACCTTCTCTTGGTCTCCTACCTCTTCTGCAGTAGTCCTCACTCCTTTACAAAATAGGATGCTAGTTTCTTTTCCCCAGTCAGTTTCATGCATTCAGTCATTCATTTTCTTTGTTCCTTGTACACGTATCCGAAAGAGATAATTCCATTTTGTATCAAGCAGAATGAACCAATCCCTCTTTTTTGTTTCAGTGGTGAAATCGAAGATAAAAAAGAGTGGGTTTGGTTCTACCCTGGAGTTCTGTACGCATACAGACACATACATTTTGCTCTGTTTTGTTTTATTGCCAAAGCAATAAAGCCAATTACTCATACAGCCCTTGACAGCAGTGGGGTCATCTGCTTTCCCAAGCCACGCTGGAAGTTGCCTCCCTTAGGAAATTAATGCAGTATTAACCGCAGATTTATGTTGCTATAATACAAAGGAGAGATTAGAAGATATGTAAGCTTACACGTCTGCAATATAAACAAGAGGATCAATTGAACTGGCAAGAAATTACAATTTTTCGTACTAAGGGGGTCGTGAAATATAAAAAACAGCCATGGTTTTGCACTGTTGAGACTTGCCCTTCAGGAATCAGGGAGTGACAGTGGTGAGGAAGTGCTTTCAGTGGGGATGCCAGTTATCACAGGGAGGCTGAGGCTCAAAAATTAAGGACTCCACCACATTTTACCACAACACAGTTTCGCATATGCGAAAGAAGTTTTTGCAAGTGTGTTTCAGCTGACTATGGCTATCATTTAAGCACAGCAAAACTAAGCTAGGCTAACTGAAGAGGAAGAGAGTGTTAGCTGAGACTCAGCTTACTACAGACTCGGTGTAATGTCCAAAATTCATGGAGTATTTGAACCTGTGCAGTGGGTAGTGCAAAGGTCTATCTGATAGAGCAAAGGTCTTTGCCGCCCCTTTCAGCTGTTAGCACCGCTCCTCACTCAGAGCTTTTGCCTCCTCCCTGTAGAAGTGTGGGGAAAAGCTAAAGGGGGGTGTTCCTCCCCTCTCCCTGATCTTTGTGATGGGAAGACGATGCAGGAGGGATTGGGTGGAAGAAAGCAGGAATTCTTCAGCCAGACATGCTGATGCTCCTCCTCAAGTGCTGGTTTGATCTGGACCATTTTTAGGAGGGGGTAAATTTGGCTCCAGGGTGCTGACAGGAGATTTGGGCACGATGTACATGTCTAAGTCTCTCTTTGCTTTGACTGAGGTCTCCCTGTGAGCATGGTGGGCAGGTACTCCACACAAACACCATCTCCTATTCAGAAAACCTGCCTGGGGGCTGCCCCGTGACCAGCTTCTGCTAGTTTAGGTAAAAAGATACAGACAGATATATTTGGAGATACAAACTTCCACTGTTCGTTTGGGAGGCAAACTCTTCTCTACAGGCTTCATTCATTTTTCCTCAGGAAGTTGACCTTCAGTTGATTATCTATCCTATTATCAGATTTCAGCAATAAAAATAAATCTGTTACCTTTTTATTTATAGATCCAGCTGTTGTGAATTAGAAGGGCTCAATGACTTGAGCAGCATTGTTCAGATTATTTATTCCATCTGACAGATGTCCTTTAATAACTAACTGTAACTTCTGTCATCTTTCAAGCTGGAGAAGTATGAGCAGAGATAGGCAGGCTCAGAGCGGAGCTGTGATTCAGCTGCGTCCTTTTCATGAGCTGAAGTTTGTTTTCCATGTCTCAGTTTGGGAGCTGCCTGAGCTGCCTGAATTTGTCATGACATTACTGGGGTGGGGTTTCCAAGCCCAGCAGTCCTGCCCAGGACCTGCCCGCCCTGGCTCAGTGGGGCCAGGATCCGGCCTTGGTAGGGCAGGGATGGGCAGTCTTCAAACAGGACGTGCCTCAGTGTCCTCCCTTCTGGGGTGCCCGAGGGAGGGGTAGCTGATAACACCACATGGAAACTACGGGTCCCTGTGCCCCACCTTTGTATGGCTAAATCAGGAAAAGGGTGAATTACACTTTCCAAGCCCAGAAAAAACAGGTGGTGATAAGATATTTGCCTACCGGAACAACAGCAGCAAGTATGGGTAAATGGAAGCCTTTCAAAGCAGTTCGCAGTATTTTTAGCTCAGGTTGAGCAAACACTGCTGAGCTCTAATTTAAACCCTTCTTCCACTGTGGGGAGCCTCAGGCTCTTAAAAATTATGTCTTTTATGCTATGAGGAGTTTATTTGATGTATTAGTAATTAAAAATGCCTTTTTGGAAAAACAGGCTGATGAAAGACCAAAACTGGACCCAAAGGTTAGCATGAAAACTGCCTCATTGAATTTGCCACCTGTAGTTACAGGGAAAGAGGGTATGGAGATTCATTGTCACTGACTGATAAGCGTGTATTTGAGAGCGGTAAACCGTATTTCTTAGGACTAGAGCTATTTTGGCTGGTTTGGGGGGACAAGCAGTTGTTCCTTCCATGTCTGCATTTCTGGGTAGCACCTGATGGAGCTGAATCCTGGCTGATGACTAGGTGGAAGAATAGTGGCCATCAACCATTTTAATAAAAGCTAAAGAAAATACTGGAGTCCAGGTTGTTTCAGATGTGAATGACTACTGGCAATGAATAGCTCTTTCAGAAGGGGAGGTTTTCCCTGGGTTAAGCATGGCAACAAGAACCCTGCACCATTTGGATATTACCTTTGAATAGATGAAGCATAGCTTTTCCTATGTCAGGACTGCCAGGTTGGCAAGGCTCCAGGAGACCCAAGACCTCTACTCTTATAAAATGATTAAATATGTATACTTTTCACTTAAACAGCAGGCGGGAAGCTCCTGCAATCACAATTTAGGATAGTTTTTTTCCTTCTTTTTTTCTTTTTAAGGAATCTCATCTGAAGACTATACATTAACAAGTAAATTAAGGTTTTAAAGTTGACATATCCAAGAGTTAATTTTGCATGAAGTCAGCTCTTAAACATTTCCTTTATCAGGTGAAAACATTGCCCCTTCACTGTCTGGCACTGCAAATTTTTCCTCTTTAATGGATCTGCTCAGCCTCATGGAAAAAATGATGGTTTCTTTGTCTTTGTATCTCTCCATTTCTCTCTTAAAATAAATGGACTGGTTCCAGCACGGTTCAGAGATTCATCTTTGTGCCTATCAGGGCTCCCCTGTGTGTTGTCTTGTACGTGTAGGTGGGGGAACAAAAAGGCTCCTCGTTCAAAGGCATACCATTTCTCTACTTGAGAGGAAAAAACTCATCTCCTTTAGTGGCCAGTCTTACACAGATGAATGCTGTGGCTAGCATTTTGAGGGGCGAGGAGTGGTTTCTAGGCACTTCAAGGCCTGAGGGCCCCAAAGAAGGCTGATTTCCAGGAGGTGCTTCACATCTGCTGCTAGAGAATTGGGATATACTGGGGAAGAAAAACTATAGGTGCTACCACTCCTGGATCACCCTTTTGGTGTTGACATCTGTGTCCCTTCAGTAGGAGGGCAGCAGGACACATGCACGTTACCTTTCTCATCATGGTTTGATTTCCAGGTTTTTCTGCACATCCTAGACTTTCTTTTCCACCTTGCTGTGAATACAACCATGTCCCCATCTCCAAATACAGACACTGCTCCCATCAGCAGGGTTTAATGAACTAGTGGGCTGACCCTGAGGCATGTTTTCAGTTTCAGGATTTTGAGGCACAGAGGGCAAGCGGAGGACAAATCCTGGTTTTCCACCCAAATGCTGGGATAGTGGCTGTGCCCTGAGCTCACCACACTCCAGTTCCTTAACGCAACACCTTAGTGTGGGCAAAGCTTACCTGCTCAATAAAATCTCTCTTTACTCTTCTCCGACTCTAGGCAAGTTCGTCGGTGATGTCTGGCCCAGGAGAGAGCACCAGTCCGGAAAGCAGCAACCTTAAGTATTCAGGTCAAGATGGGCTGTACACAGGAGTCAGCCTGACCTCCACAGCTGAAGTGACAGCATCCGTGAGACAAGATCCCTGGTGTGCCCTGGCTCTGGCATGAAGGGAAGCTGGATCCTGGCACTGTGCAGCAGCCCCCAGACGTCGGCGCATGGTTTCTTCTGTGGAGCAGTGGCAGTGGCAGCAAGAATGCTGGCAAAGACTATTCCTCTGAAAATGTTTTTATGCCTTGGTGGCAGAGGTGTTTTTCAGCCTCCGAAAGAGATTCTGCCAAAGCATCCAGTTCCTCATCTATGCAAGCAAAATATATGGAAAGCAATTGCCCACCAGGGGACAGTTAATGTAGCTAATGCAGCCTTACATTCTCAAGGAGTAAAAAAAAAAAAAAAAAAAAGGAAAAAAAAGAAAAAGAAAAAAAAAAGAGAAAAATCTAGACCTATTGATAGATTCCAGAAGTACATCCTCAACCTGCCCAGCAGTGCTGCCTTTCTGATTGTGTAGTTGTTTTCACTCTCTCATTGCCTTCTCCCCCAAGAACCTGGCAGAAGCTTCCAGTGTCAAAGAGGGAGTAGCAAAGGCTTCAATTACCAGAGATAGCAAGATACCTTTTAACGAGTGTCAGAAGTGGGTACTGCTCAAGTCGGCGCAGACGTCTCACACCGAACATTTGATGTCTTTTCCTTGTCAGTCCTCTCCCCTGCGCTCTCCATCATCAGCGTGCCTTGCTCTGCTCCTCAGAGCCCAGCTATGCCCCTGGAAGAAATCACAACGTTTGGTACAAGTCTCTTGAGGTCCAGCTGGCTAAGGAGATTTTTGGGGTTGGTGGGGTTTTTTTTTTTGGTTTAAAATATTTACTCACTTTGCAAGACTGCGATATAACTTTTAAAGTACACTGTGACTGAGGCTGATGAAAGTTCGTATTTTCTGGCTGAACTGTATCAAGTCAGTCGATTTGTAAACAGGGTAGCAATCAGATATTTTTCTTCCATATATACAATAATTTTTTTAAAGAAGTGCAATTTGCGTTGCAGCAATCAGTGTTAAATCATTTGCATAAGATTTAACAGCGGTTTTTATACGAATGAATGAATGTAAACGTTTTAACTTAATGGTACGTAAATAATTTAAAAGAAAAACTTAAGTAGGCATCTTTAGGCTTTTTAGTGCAACAAAACCCCATCCACTCTCTGTATGTCCAGATGTTGAAGCAAGAGTTTCAAAGAACAAGCCTTCTCTCAGGAAAATCGCTATTTGCTCCAAAGTGTTGTACAAAAAGGCAAATGCATCCCAGGTATTTTTCTTTTTTGCCATCGAATAAGTGTGTGCTGGAAAGAAACAAATCACAATGAAATTTTACTACCTAACTGATACATATGTAAATACTCCATAAGATATTTAGGCATCTTGAAAATGTAAGATGCAATCTGTATAGTATGACTGACGCATAGTTAGGTTGGTTTCCATTGGTCTTCAAGCGGGATGTCATTTGGAATGTTATTTCATCAGAGCTTTACAAATAAAAGGGTATCATTTTGGGATATTTCTTTTTTCCTGTACACTGTGCCTTCTCCTTTGTCTCCAATGCAACTCTTAAGCTATATTAAAAGCTATGGAAATGTACCTGATATAGGCGGCGTGTCTGATGGCTGCAAGGAAGGTCTCCAGCTGAAGTCTAGCTTCTGTCTAGCTAAGTTTGCATTGCATGTGGCATTTCTGTAGCTCCCTTCACTGCGCCATCTGATGATATGTAAAACTAGGGCCTCTACCTACCAACACAAGCCCCTCATGGGTAAATGGGAGGTTTTTCCGATGAAAGCCCAGGGAACTGATCCAGTGCCTTGTGAGGACTGTCATGGATTTGCTCAGCCTTCACACCACAGCTAAAGGGTTTCACTCAGGTCCCCTGTGTGTGCAAATATCTGCTTGCCACCCACTGCAGATGTAACTGCTTAAGGCCAGATGGATGGCAGAGTTGTTTCATGCCTCCTGGCATCCTCTTGTGGCCAGAGGCATAGGGCAGCAAAAACTGAAGGTGCTGATGCTGAAAAGAGAACACAGTGAATTGAGGGGAGTGGACAACCTTTTTCTGGCTCTGAGGACTGGTCCTCTGCATTGCTCAGCTGATCAGAGTGAGGCTTACTGCCGGGTGTGATTTCCTGCTACACTGGCAATATTGTCAGACCAGGAAGCCGGGATGCCCAACCTCTGTACTCAGTGACATATGGAGTGGCTGCAACACATCTCTTCACCTCTCTGAGCCAGACCTTCATTTGGGCTGAACTGGATTAGCTCCTTGGCCTTCTGTGAAGCTACACTGATTTGCACCAGCTGAGAATCTGCCCCTTGGTTTTCGAACTGCCATCAGTCAAAGCCACTTCCTTATCCTGGAGGTGTTGTGAGGACTGTGGAATAGTGGTGCAGCACAGACCTTGGAGGGGAATGGCTTCTAGCAAAAGGGGATCAGGGTAAACTTCAGCTGGGGTTTGGGCTGTCCTGGCCAGCCAGGAGTAGGGATCCTTTTCCACTTGTGGTGGGGCCATCACACCAGGCTTGGTGCTGGGCCACCTCATATCCTTGCTCCCTGGGGGTTGACACGGCTGGGTACTCCAGCCCTGCTAGCCTTGGGGCCATGTGGGCTTCGAGCTTGCCATTGACTAAGAGAAATCATTATCTATGTGCAAAGTGAACCATGCAGACAAACACTGGGTTAAAGAAGAAAAAAGTGTGGAGAAGAGGGTGAATATCTTTCCTTTTGAAACACTTGTTGGCTAAAACACCCTTTTCTGTGATTTTCCAGTGCTAACACTTAAATGGACAAAAAAAACTGTTGCTAATGTATTGAAGTGTGTTCAGCCTTAGCTGGGGTCAGCATCCTTTCTGTTCCTTTTTGCCTTGCCAGGGGTGAAGTTTGGTGTGCCAATTCTGAAAAGCCTAGTGCAAAACTCACTGTCAGGTATGTCAGAGCTCTGTTGCTCGGAGTTACCATAAACCAGGAGGTTTAGACCAGTGTGTCCCAGTTCTGGGCTGCTGACCCAGCACTAAAAATCAGCTGGTTGCTGACACTCTTGCCAGCAGCCTGCGGAAGGCTGTGTTGCTTTGAAACCCTGCAGCACAATTGAAGAAGGCATCTGGGAGGCCCTGCTCCCTTCTCAGCAACACCTTAGCCCAGGGTCTGATTTGTGGTTGTTCCTGCAGATAGTAACTATTTCAGGGGGCATAAAGAGATGCCTTGTGTGAAAAGACTCCTCTTGTGTCTGAGGCTGAAAATGGTTTTTTTTAGGCTATAACAGGAAAAGAAAAAAAGAAAGAAAATATAAAACCGAGTATTTCATAGGGAAGGTGTTTCCCATTATTTCTTATCAGCAAAAACATCAAGAATGAAATACTTTGCCTTCTTGGACCAGAAGCAGGGCTAAATCAGGTTTTCATCCCCCCTGTAAGAGGCGGGGGATGGGGGGGGGGAGGTCTGCAGTACCATGTTGCCTTACTGTATAGATGCTGAGGAGCTCAAGGCCAGGTTCTGTGTTATGATTTTACATAGAAAAAGGCTAAGAACAGAACCTCCCTACTGACCAAAACTGCTCCCCGAGTGTACTGATTGCTAGAGCTCTGAGTGTGTGAGCTGGACTTTGCTCTGACTCACCATCAATGGCACTGATACTGATGGACAGGCTGGCCAGATGCTTTCCTCACTTATCCCTGTTTCTCTTCAGTGACAGCCCCTGGGATGGGCTGAGAAAGAACGAAGAGAGTTTGACCATGGGTTTCAGTTGCAAATGAGGCTGAACAAGTCACAGTTATCCTGGAGTGCCTCTGTAGTACCAGAAAGCAGCTTAAGAGGTGACATTTCAGGGAGGAAAAAGTGCGTATTTTTACTTGCCACCTTAGCACCTTTTCTCTGGAAACAGCCAAAATTAATTAGCCAATGACCCAATGCATCTGCTTCCCCCACTAAACAACACCAGAAGGCTTGTATTTGCTTGGGTGGCCCCTCAAGAGCAGACCACTCCTGGCCACTTGTGTTATCTTGGGCTGCAGGCTTCCCTAGGTCCCAGGCTCTGATTTAGTAATGCTCCTGCCACCCTCACCCATAATTATATTATTTTCTGGTCAAAGTGCTTGACATAAATTGAGATCCATGCCATGGTCCAGAGTGGTATTTTTCAGCATGGCATTGAGGGTGTCTACTGATGTGGTATGAGGGCTGTGGAGGTATGTGAAGGCCCAACCACTGCTGGGCTTTGTTGGTGATCTGGGTAAAGGGGAGAGAACCAGCCTTGGACAGGTTGCCCCAAGGGAGTAAGAGGTGCCTGGATGTTTCCTGAACTACAGGTAGGTTTTGTTACATGTGGATGATGTGAAGGCAAGGACCTGGGTGTGAAGTGAGGAGTCCAAGTGGCTGATTTGGTTTGATCTTCTTGCTGCAAAGCTAGACAGAGCCATGCACCAGCCCTGTAACTTTGTCACATAGAATGTGGGTAATTTAGTGTCTGTTCCTGCATAAAAATAGTACCACTTCAGCTCCTTTCCAAGAGAAGAAGGGGTTTAGGAGTGACACCATGTTCCTGCAGTCATGAGCCTTAGTTAAGCACAGACTGCAGAAACCCAAAATGCTTAAACTCTTCCTATATGCCCACAGCTCCAGATCTTCCTTATCTAACTGTCCTGCACTTCATTCCTCACAGATCTAGTTCCTAAAGCTGTATACACTGGACATTCCAGGGCTGTGTCAAACATGCTGAATCCAGTATTAAAATATCGGGCAAGAGTTATTACAATGGGATGGCGAGAATGAAACTCCGGGCTTAAGCAGCAGTTTCAAGTATCTTCTGCTCCACATGTTGCAAAAGGCTTGAGGTCTTCATTACATGTTTGTAATGTGTTTTGGAATCATTTCTTAAACTTTCCTTAAAAATATCAGATGAAAGTTGGCGTAATATAGAGGAGAATGGGGAATGTAGGTGCTCGGGTAGACATGCAGTCAACCAAGAGTTGTTAGAGCAATGTAGTAACCAAAAGTGCTAATGTACTCTTTGAATGAATAATTAGGAGAATACTGAGTAGGAGCGAGGAGGTAATTTTACTTTGGGATGCTGCATCCAGAACTGGCATCCACATTTGAAAAGGATGTTGAAAAATTGGCTAGGATAGGGAAAACAACTACAGAAATGTTTTAACGACTGGGGAAAACATCTGGCTTTGACCAGTTTAAAGATCACATTCCACTTAGAGTATCCAAAAGGAGACTAAAGGGTGACTGGTGTAGTAAGCCCCTTGACAGGGAGAAAATGGTAGGTGCCAACAGGTCTCTGACCTTGCAAAGAAAGACATAAAAACTCTATCAGACAGAAGTTGAAGCCGGATTAATTCAAAAGAGAAATTCAGCTGAAATAGTGCACATAAATAACAATGGCAGCAACAGCAAGGGATGAAGAATGCTCAACTTCTTGATGCCTTTGCAACAAAGCTGGCTGGAAGATCATCTTTAGCAGACTAAAAGTGGCTGGGTTCAGGGCTGAGCGGGTTACATCCGCTGCATTGTAATTTACAGGCTAGATTAGTTTCCATTTGGTCTGAAACCGTATTACTTTTTGGGATGAGACCCAATGCTGAGATCCTGAATTTTTCTCATTATTAAAAACCCCATGGCACTCTTCCTGAGAGCCGTGGTAGACACTGTGGTGTTTTGACCCAGTTTCAGCATAAGTAATAATTTTTTGCCAACCTAAAATGTCCTACTTCCTCTCCAGAACAGTTCTGTATCTTTATTGCTTCCTGTGAAATACATCCTGAGTTCCACAGAAGGAAAGGCCACATTTCAAAGTTGAACAAACAAGAACTGAAAAATCTGTCACCTCTTATGGCATGGCGCACAGGCAGAGGCTGCTAAGCAGCCTGTTGCTCTTGGAGAAGCAGGAAGGAAGCCTCCTCTGAAGACTGCAGTCTGCAGGTCTTCTCTCTGTGACCTTCTGATGCTGTGAAGACCACAGCCTGAAGAATGAACAGAGGCGTGTGGATCATCTTACAAGTGGTGTGATTCAGAAAAAAGACAGTGCAATGGTAGGTTTCTGTGGTACAAAGAACCCCAACTGTGATCCAAATCCTACTTGTTCTTCTCATCTGAATAAATAATAGTAAAAAAAACCAACCAAACAAACAAAAAGCTGCTTTTTGTGCCTTGCTTGTGCAGAACCCAGACTTGTGGCATGAGAGGGAGAGAATGAACCTTGTCTATTTTATCTGACCTCTTTGCAGTACAGAGGAGCCCCAAACCAGCCAGGCAGATCCTGGTGAGTGTTCACACTCTGAAGGGGTTTTGCATAGGCTTGGCAGATGTGCCTCCCCTGACTCCTGCACTAGAAGCAGAAGTGGCCTCACTGTACTGAGAGGGTGTGTGTATTTGGCTTGGGGAGGGGAGAGAAAAGGAGGTCTGGTGGAGGGGAGAGCTGCTGTGCCTCAGCTTCAGTGATAGGGTTGTAGCAGCATCATGAGGAGCTAGCTGCTTGTGGGCGGTCCCTGCTCAATGTGACTCGAGGTGCCTGAGGACCAAGAAGCTGAAACTGGCCTTTAGCAAGCCTGCAAGGACACCTGTCAAAGTGGGGACACCTGCCTTCTACATGTGTGT